TAAATCTTCGTCTGACGAGCTTGATTCTGCATCTATAGTCTGATTAGATCGAGTAAAATAACGATGCTGTCTTTCTTTTCTAACTGTAATCGGCTTCTGAAAGCTGATTCTTAAATCTGTCTTTTTCCTAGTCCCTGAGTGCTGGTCCACTTCTTTCTGGGCCTCTCTGTCTGCGCCCCCCTCGCACCTCTGAGCTGTCACTCCTCCCGCCCCCTGCTCTCGCAGCCCTGCTCCTTTTTCTGCCTGAGAAGTATTCTCTTCAAATTTCGGACTAGAATGACTAATAAAGTTTTTTCCATTGAAACCATTTGCAAATGAATTTCCCCTAGTCCCTGGGGTATGCTGCAAGTGAGATGGGCCTCCCTGAATCGTGTGGTTTTTAAGCTCACTTTCCAGTCTTGTCAATGTGTCATTAAATTGTCTTTCAGCCACTTGTGCCACAATTTCTCCAACCTGATCAATGTGTTTCTGAAGCTGGGTAGTCTGAGCTGTAACCTCCCGTACCTGCCTGAGCGCCTCTTGGGAGTATTTTTGATCCAGACTCTCCTCTCCTGTGCTAGTCACGGTACATTTGATTGGCTCTTCAAATGTAATCAATGGAGCCATTGTTGCAGAATCTTTACTTTTCACTAATTCTGTTAAATCTGGATACAATGGAGCATACGGTGGAGGGGAAGAATCAGGAGCTGTACTTTGCAATTTGGCAGCAGTCATCCATTTCTCATTTAGTTTGATCATCATTGAAATCAGAGTAACCTCATCTGTCAACTTTTGAATTTTCTTATTTTCTAACGGCTTCTCTCTTTGCATTTGAGAACGTTTCTCCAAAACTAATTCTCTTAGTTGTTTCATTAACCCTTCACTTGGGGGTGAATTTGACTTAGCTAAAATACCATCTTTCTTTTTTGATTTTAACCATGTTCTAACGCTCCTTGTTGTTGTATTTTTAATCTCTGTTGTCCCCTCTAAATACTGTATAATCCCCTTTATCCACTCATCTAATGTTACAGATGCCATGTTTTCTACCGTCTAGATTACAAGCCTTGTGTTATCAATATCAATGTAAAGAATCAGCAATTGGGTGCGTAATCTTAGAGCGTCAGATCGTGGTATCTCCCCGTTCGACCACAAAATGTGGTGGGGAAATGTACGCACGAATCGTGACCCCGTCCTACGCGACCCAAATTACTGCGTTCACTGTGACCGTTTGTGCAATGGTCACTTTCAACAGAAAACATCAATCACTCATTCACACCAAGAGAAAAATTAAAAAGTGAGAAAAGTTAGACACTGTCCCTGTCCTTTCCCTTATTGTCAATTAATTAAAACACACAGTTTTCTCCTTCAACCATTAAATCACTGAGATAGCACACAGTTCACTCCTTTTAACTCATAAATCACTTAGATCCTCACACAGTCCTTTTAGGTTGACTATCAATCACTGAGATAACACACAGTTTTTCTCCTTTTCTTAAGTCACTTAGACTTGAAAACTATTATCCCAATAAATATAACATACTTGCAAGCAAATCCTTCAATATTTACCCTACTTTTGTTTGTTTGTTTTTTATTTTTAGGTCTCAGGTCAGGTGAAAGGAAAGATTAATTAGTTGGTAACAACTCTTACCGTTTTACTTTGGCGCCAAATTAATCTTTTCTTTGACCGGGCCTTGTGTCTCCTGTCGAATCCTGTTCGAGCGACGCCAAGTTCTGCTGTAATTTGTCAGAATTCCCCCGCCCCAGAAGCAGCAGAGAGGCTGCAAACACAGCAGCCCTTCGTTCTGCAGGCCCTTTTAGTTCAACAAGAGACAAAAACCAATGTTAAAACAGTAATAGAAATGACAGATACCAAACCTGATTTCAAAAGGTTATATTGAAGACTTTGCAAGCAATATTACAAGATAACGGTCCGCGAACAGGTCTCGCTTCGCGTTCAGATAAGGAGTGGCCCCCGGGGACGTCTCACTGCTCCTTGTCAGAAGAAAAAGCAAAAAGTCCCCCGTGACCACTTCTGCACATACATTTATACTTTACATCCAAGGTCACTTGACATCACAACTGTATGGACCCTATGACTCCTTCTGGCCCGCTGCCAACGTTTGCACCTGCTCTGATAACCACTTGTCTCCCTCTTGTCCCCCTCCCATTCTCACACAGACTAACCTTGAACTCACTGCTCTTTGAGACTTACACAAACAAGTGCTAATTTGGCAACAGAAACAATACTAAACTGATCTTAGTTTTAACTGGTGCAGGAGTTAATATTCCAACAGAGTTTATTTGGTTTCTTTCAAGCTGTGAGCCAATATCCATATTAGAACAAATAAAGGATTGACATCACTCATTTTGCGTCTTATGAATCCTTATGAATCAGTTTGACATTGTAAGTGAAGTAAATTGACTTTTGAACGATATTCTGTTTTTACAAGTTTGAAATACTTAGGTTTGGAGTTTTACAACTTTTTGTTTACAATGAATGAACGAAAGTATATAACTAAACACATTGGGGAAAACTTTATACAAAAATTAGGGCTGTCAAACGATTAACATTTTTAATCGAGTTAATTACAGTTTAAAAATTAATTAATCGTAATTAATCGCATTTTGAACTATCGGCAAAATGATGCAATTTTTTCTGTAAATGTTTGTTTGAATGGAAGGATAAATGATGACATAGTGTACATATGTACTGTTTTTTTTTTATTATAACAATAAATCCACATAAAATGGCATTAACATTTTTAACATTCTGTCTTTTTGTAGTAGACACTATTTTTTCATCTCAACATATTCCGGCTCTGCTAAAGCCTCCTCTTTCTTCTACTTCTCTGTGGCTGTGGATGCTTTTCATTGTCTCTACAAACTATTGTTTGTTACAGAGATGAGGGATATTTGAAAAAAGTCTGAAATGCATGTCAGCCAATGGCTATCATTAACTCTGTTTTATTTGCTCACAACATTTCATTTTTGGCCACAAATAACATGAAATGGTAGTGCAAAGGAAAAGTTAGCCATCCCAGCTTTCATTTAGCGTCTTTGTTGCTTCGGGAGAAGACACGGGGGAGACGGACGGTTTCTTGCAGCGCTGTTTTTATTGGGTGCACTGGTCACGCCTGTGCATGATCAGTGCACACAGTGGTCTGTGCGTGTATATGGCCTTGGGTACATGGCCACGTTACGGCTGCACGCTTCCATGTTGTTGAAAGCCCCTCACAGCTGCAGGCTGCGGGAACCGCTGTCCAAAGCGGCCGCAGCGGCCCCAGAACGCTGCAGACTCCCATTCACAGCAATTGCCCCGTGGTCACGCGCGCGGGGTGCCAGTTACTTAGCACATGCGTTAAAAGCGTTAATTTTTTTAACGCAATTAATGAAAAAAATTTATTAATGCACGTTAAAGGCGCTATACCCGTTTCTGCAATGTTTGAATGTTTAGCACCGCCCCCCAACTTGCTCACAGGCTTCTCATTTCCCCTACACTCTCATCCCACGAAGCCACCTAGTTTTATTTGCGATCTGATACATATGCTAACATTAGCATTAGCGCAACTTCTTGTAAGCTGTGCAACAATCACTGATGAAATGGTACAAAAGCAACGCACTGCTAACACAATATATAAGTAAAAGAATACCGCTATTTCCGCGTCCGGATGTATTAATTTAAACATTAGAATTTATTCTAATATTTAATTATAATTTATTATACAGCTCTTCACAGCAGTAGAACACTCCATTGACTTGAATGTAATTCTTCCGATCATTTTTTCTTGATAACAGAACTCTCAAATCAATAATGACCGAAGCCCCAATGCAGTCTCTGTTTGTAATTCAGGTGTGTAAAATACTGCCATTACTCCGCAAGTACAACAGCGCCTGTCACTACACTGTGCCGTTTCTCTGCACACTTGTCTGTATAGAGAAGCTAGCGGAGCTAGCCACGCTCAATAAACAAATACATATCAATCAATCAACACCGTTAAACGTTAATCGGACAATACAGTATACATATACATCCTTAACACACATGCACGGACAATTTCAGAATTTGCTGTCAACGTTTTCATGACAAAAATACTGTTTTAAAGTGACAAAAAGCGATCGCGATAAACCCGGAAGTTACCATGAAACAGCTAGCTAGCTTAGCTGTTACCTGCCTAGCACGTCCCGGTGAAACCTTTGGGAGCAAACTATTTTATTTGCATTCATTAAATACGTTTCGAATTATAAGGGCTGTCTAATATTTGTTCGAATATATATATTTTTTTTATTTCAGAATTATATTCGAATTTTGAGGCCGAAGCCCTGGTGTTAAGCAGCGCTGTAGAGGCTAGAGGACGCAGGCGTCCCGCTAAGACTCCACTCAGCACTTTTCACTGCTTGTAATTCTTACACAGCTGAATCAATGACCTCAAGTTTCAATTAAATTATGCATTATGATAGAACTTGTATGTAGTAAAAAGCATTTTTATGAACTACATAGAAAAAAAAATTGGGTATAGCTTCTTTAACGCGATAATTTTGACAGCCCTAACAATAATCAGTATTTGTTGATGTTTTAATGTTCACAAAATGCATTCTATTGTAGTGTTTTGCGTCTCATCTTTATTCCTCTGTGTTTTATTTATGTGTTTTGTTATACAGTATACATATACAATGGCTAGCTTGTATATTCAAATATGTTTTATCTCTGCTGCCCTTCGGGAACGGGTTTTATAAGATACTTTATTATATGATTTTGACCGTACGCATGCTCTGATTGGCTGATTACCGGTCTGATATTTTCCCATCTCAGACCGTTACCATGACAATTGGTCCGACCAGCGCGTATCGCAATTGATGTACAAACATGTAAAACAGTGAGAAGATAGTATCTTTTGCGCAACGTTTATAATTGGATAATAATTAAAGTGACTAAAGCAGTGTGAGTTTTACAGTCCTAGTGCAGGTCATTAAGTGATACACATTTAAATAAAGTAGATTTGATGTTGTATTTGAACATGTAGATGCAGGTTGAGGCAGAATGGTAAGCGAAGCGTCACGTTGGCGAGGAGCTGCAAGGCTTCACTAATGCTGCTTGCTTAGCAGATTGGAAAGTGCACCCGTCTAACCTTAAGTCACAGCTGAATTCGCGCAGTAACTCCAAAACCACTCTATTCATACGTGCGTTTCTCGCAGGTGGCTTGTGCACCGACGAACATTTCACTCAAAACTTGTCGAGGGAAAACTAACTTGGATCGACAATTATTGGACACTGTAATTTTCCAAAAAAGGTTCATGTTGAAGCAAGAAGCAAAACACTGTTGGGACTATTTACTGCATGTCTTAAAACCAAACTACTATAATAAAGTGAGCTCTATTTTAGATTTTAATTTTTTTTAGATTTAATTTTGTGTCATTTTATCCCTAGACTTGCTGCATCACCTTAAAAAAAACTTCCATAATATTTCCGTCACATTTTGTATCCGTTATTCAGTATGGAAAGCTCCCATAGAGTATGTAAACCAGATAAGTTGTTTGGTCAGTGCATTAATAAAAAAACCTAACCCTTAAAGAAAATTGAATAAAAAGTACTACATTTTATATAGTAATTGCTACAACATAGTGGAGGTTTACCAAATTTTGAATATGTGAAACCAAACCCCAGGTCTGCCCAATCAGATCCACGACCCGTGCTCATCGGACGCAACATGGACGTTCCAAACAGAAGCAGAGGTTACGTTTTTCTCCAGCTTCGCAGCAGGTGCACAGTGGCTCTATTTCTGCAGGGCCAGAGTAACATGTGAGCCTTCTGACCAAGCGAGATGAGTTTGTTGTCCAAAAGATTTAAAGAAAACAAATGGACACTAGAAGCCAAACAAAATCCGACATTTTCTATCACAGTGATGTAGCATCCTGTATGACCTGTATTCGATCATGCAGGTCTGGCGTGGTGAGGTTACAGAACACATTGGACGCAGTGCTCTGGCCATAGAGCTTGGGGGTAATAGCATGTTGTTCCTCTCAGACGTGAAAGCAATGGACTGTGGCACTTATTGGATTGTCCCTATGTCACCTTGAATACAACCCTGGAGTCCTCCGTGTCCCCTGATCAAAAGAAAAACCTGTACGAACACTAATGTCCTTCGTCTCTGCCTTTGTTCACCTATAGAATAATCACAGATGACAGATGTGGGAGCGAACACAAACTCTCAAGTGGACTGTAGACCAGCTGCTTTGCCTCGGAGTCCCCTGCATAGCTGTTTAAAGGCTCTTTTCACCATTCAAACGATATCATTGTCTGTTTTGAATTCATAATTGGTTTGAGCTCATTTAAAAGACCGCACTTAGCAGACGTGGCATTTGCAAAAATCTTTCCACTTCCAGACGAGTAAACAAATCATCTCATTAAACACGCATGTCTGATTTAATTTTTGCGTCATGTGGAATTTTCCCTATTTATTTTCTCATTTATTGCTTTTTGTAGCAGGTTTCACAAGGATAAGCCATTTCCATCCATTCTGGGTGACAAGTTAATCTAATAGCAGCCACTTAGGGAGCGTCTGTGCATAAATAATGTGTTTCGGTTCAAACTGTCATTTTTGTGACATGGAAGGAAGGTTTTTCAAACATAGAAGAGTGAAATTGGCCAAAAAGTGTTGTAAAGACAATTAAGATATACTGTTTGTGTAATTAATTTACAAATATTTATACAACTGAACATAATTTAGATGAAGTGTGTATTACCTCAACACGCAAAGCGATACGTAATTGTGTTTTTATCCCAAACTAAAACCAGGCTCTGAAATAAAAAGTTAAAAGGAGGTGCTATTGGGAGTTGAGGGAGTTTCAAAATCTGCAAAAGCGAGACTGGGATAAGAAAGTAACACCTCCATCTACTGGTGGAAATTGGATTTGCAGCAAAATGCAAGCAATTAGATAAACTTAACACACATGCTAGTTAATATATTCAACATAAATGGTTTATTTCATTCAGTTAATGAGGATGTTGGGGTTAGGGCATGGTTACTAATAACTTGATAATAAATCCAATGTCCTCACCATATTTCCTTGTCAAGAATATACTTTTACTCCTCCATAATAATGCTCAATGTGATATCATAAAATTCTAAGTAGTTTATGAATGTGGGGGAGGGAAGTTGAAAAATGTGTCCTGGTAACTATGGAAACAACTGTTAAAAGTGATATATTTTATAATTATTTAAATGATGTTAAATTATGATCTGTGAAAACATTTGGACATTTTCTATTTCTGCAACCTCTGCTAATAGAGTTGTACTGTTAATTAAAAACAATAATTCTAGAACATGATTTCAACCTTTTTCGTTGCTTTACATCCAGGTTCTTGGACGGTAATGTGCTGGAGATCAATAAGGAGTTCCAGCCTATCTTGGGCGAAGGAGGCCGCGTCCTGGAGATCCGCTCCCCAGACATCGTGGCCAGTGTGAAGAAGGCGGCTCAGGCTGTGGGCTACACCGAGGGCGCTCTGCTAGCTCTGGCTATCATCATCATCCTCTGCTGCATCCCTGCCATCCTCATCGTCATGGTCTCCTACAAACAGTGAGTACAGCCTCATTGTATGGCTGTATTCTCCAGCCCTAGTAGCTGCCCTCAACCATTTGGTGCATTACATTTTGAGTCACAATATCTGTTCGAAGTTTACTTCACTGGGGCATCTCTATCACTTGGTTTTAGACACTTTACCATCAAACTGCATCTCAAGCATTTGGTAAAGGCCAATAATGAAAAACAAGGGGTTTAAAAAAAAAAAAAACATAAAATGAATTATGTGTGTTATTAGTGCTCTTTAATTTTAGAAAAGAAAAGCGTAACCTCTTTTCAAGGAGTGAAGGTTAAAGGATTAAATAAACACAACAAATTCAACCATTGGATTTCTATTGTTAGAATCTATAAAAACTATTGCATGCAATCACTCATGGCAACAGCATGGCATCTTTATTAGGCTGTCTTTTAGAAATAACAGGTGTTTTAATGAACGGAAATTGCACGGCGTACGCTGAAGGGATTTTGGAGCCACAATTTTTCTTGACGTTGCAGACTTCATTAAGGGATAAAGTGGCCTGTCATACGTCAAAAACCAACGCATGAGGGAGATTCGCAGCTAGCTGAGGTCTTGTTTTTAATGAAAGGGAAACGGAAATCGATGAAACCCTTCTTGATGGTCAGTAGCAGTATATTGTTCACAGAAACAGAGCAGCCTGTAATTACAGCTGGGTTTAGAAAATGTGATATAGTGTAACATTAAGAAACAAATAAGTTGGGCACCCCAGCTTTAATGATAATGTTGATAAGTTGGCCCAAACTCTGTCTTGCAGCCCACGATTCTAATTCAACAATTACTCTATAACAGAGTCTTGTAAGTAAGTAAGTAATGTTTATTTGTATAGCGCATTTTACAGACTAAGGTCACCAAAAGCGCTGTACAATGTTCAAAAATCAGATATTTTCCCATTCACACCTCAAACCTATGCAGTCATTGGAAAGGCCCTGTCCCAACCGGGATTCGAACCCGTTGCTGAGAAGCAAGAGGGCCATCCAGTCAGCCACCATGTCGCCCAAGCTTGACAAAAAATCGCTGACGAGAGTTGAATTTCAGTCTCCAAACTCATGGAAATCCCCCGAAAGAGTTTAAAATAGACCTCACATATACCTACACTGATAAAAGTGATAAAAAATAAGTTTTAAAAAATGCTCAAATTTGGCAAAATATGTCTTAATTTGAGCACATTCTGACTGCCTTTAAACAAGATTTGCCAATGGGACAAAGCAAATGTGACGCTTGGAATGAGAGTAACTGTTCTTGAAATAAGACTACCAGAAAATGACTTTGACCCATTGAAAAATCTGGTTTTAGACAATCAGAATGAACAAGATACAAGATACAAACCACTCTATTCAAGCAAGTATTACCTCATATTTGATCCCTTTTTGAGGGTAGCTATCCCCTTAGCCACACTCTTTATCTTCTCTCTGGCCAAAGGATTTCCCTGGGTTTTATTGATATAGTGGAGAAAACAAGTTTATACAGTATGCCCTATGGAGTGCAAAGTTGGACCTGGCAAACCCCGAGATATTGCTTGTGGAATAGCTGACGGCCCCTTGGCTCGCCTCTGCAGTATCTCCTCATCGCGCATGCTGACGGTGCACTCCAGCTGTAATCTGTGGGCCCATGCTCTGTGAAAACACTCCCATTAGCGCTCGTTTGCCACTAATATCAACGGCCAATCATGGGCCTTGTCACAGTGGATGCGACTTAATGTGCCCACGCCATAACAGCGCTTGCTTGACTCATATTCACTCAGGATACAGACTGGACTATTACCACCGACCCACTGGGGGAAACCAGTCGGAGAGGTCGTCGGAGGTAATGGTGATTTGTCATGTCTTAGAATAGAGCATTATAACATTCAAAAAAAAAATTAAACTAAACACCTGTTTTAGAAATCTTAGTGAATGTTAAGATAATTTAATCTTAACTTCTTTTTTTTTTCTTTGTAAATCGTTTTAAACAAACAAAGGTCAGGACGGCAGTGTCAATCAGTCTTCATTGTTTGTTGTACAGTCTGACAGCAGCATGTTGTCATAGATTCTTGTTAGCATTACAACACTGTTCCATTGTGGTATTTTTGGTGATACATTTTGACATAGTAAGTTGAGATGTTTTGGCTCGCATTCAAAACACAGATTACTTAAAGCTGAGGTACCTAACGTATAACCCGCTAATAATTGAGCGATAAAATCAATATAACTTGTTCTTCGCTCTCAAATTAGTTTGGTTCTTTGGTGCTTATTTGCATGTATTCATTGGTCATTTTTACATCCTCTCAGCACTCAGCCCAAAGCGTCAAATAGTGACTCACAGGGCCCTAATAAGATAAAGAGAGAATGTTCTGGTTTGATCGGTTCACAAGATTTTACTTTAACAAGCCTTTTTTCTGTTGGAAAAAACTAAATCTATTAATCATGAAAGGTAATGTCAGGTACCCCAGCTTGTAGTGTGTGCGTTTGTATTGATCAAAATAATAATGTCACAAATTTATTCAATGTTTTAATTCTCTTTTAATTCTCTTGAAAATCAGACTTCTTACTGTGAGTGGAACTTGCCTCTCCACAGACCTCAATTATATATCAGCCTGATGTTTGGCATATTTTATCCATGGGTCAGTGGTTGCATGTGACATCACAATGCTTTATGTCCTGGAGTGAGCACTTTTAAGTAGTAAGCACTTTCTAGCTCAATTCATCCATCCATCCATTCAATTTCTTCCACTTTATCCATTGTTGGGGTGTGGGGCCAGCAGTCTAAGCAGAGACGCCCAGACTTCCCTCTCTACATACACACACATACACGCACGCACACTTTCCCGCTAAATGTTGCAATGTTGTTCAATAATCGCACATCATTCATGTTTCTTCACACACATTTTTCGATGATAAAAAGTCGAGTTTGATGCCCGGTCATTAGCATTCTCTTGATGGCTCCGTGTTTAGGTAGTGTTTGTCAGGAGCAGATGGGGAGAGGCTCTTGTCCTATATAAATACACACAACTCAAAGTGGCTGACACTAGACTTGGCAGAGCAGATGGCACTTCGCAGTCTGACACCACAGTGGGGAAAAAGGCAGATTAGGAAATCATTGTGTCGTTTGTGAGCATCAACGTCGGTTATTGCAGTTGTCGTATAACGGGAGGAGATAAGGCGGATCATAAGTGATGGCTCCGTGTTGGTTCGAGGAATATGATGAGTCACGGAACTACAGTATAAAGGACATAAAAAGGATTAAACCGTGCCTCTATAAAGATTAGAACTAAACAAAGCAGTTCATTGCTACTTTAAGAACTTCTCACCCCTGCTCCTCGAGGCTTACGTCACTTACATTTCCTGTTCGAATCTTCCTCCAAGTGGGCATAGCCTGGAGGACTAAAGGGGACAGGTAGGGGGGTGAATGTTGGGGGTCAGCACTAGATCATATACGGAATCGGGACGGAAGCGGAAGTAAATTTAACAAACTACCTATTTATGCCTAAACTTAACCAGCCATTCCCATAAAATAACCCCGACCCACCCTTAACCCTAACCTTAACCATCTTAATCAGACGCCTAAAACTTAACCAGTCACCACTTAAGGACTTATTAGTCTAAAACTAATTCGAAAGTACGAGTTTTACTTCCGGTTTCGTCCCGATTCCGTATATGATCTAGTGCTGACTGAATATTGGGTGGGTCTAGGCTGTGATTGACACTTGACAATAAAAGCAATAGGGACTAAAACTACTGTACAATATTCAACAACAACACTATTAACACTACACAATTATCAATAATAGAAACAGCTATGCTAGTAATAATCTCCGAAAAATACTCTCTGCTATTCCTTCTCCAACTCGCTACGGGGGCATGAACGAGACTGGCCCGTTCACGCTCAATGGACGGCAGGGCAACGTCAGCCTTCACTGCAGACGTCAGGTATCACTGCTGCGCAAATGTTGGCGCCAGATTAAAAATTCAAATGTAGTAATACAGGTCGCCTGCAGATGGCGCCTCACTAACGGTTTTAGGCAGAAAGTTGATATTTCAACTAATTTGCACCAAAGTGACAAAATTATGACCAGGATATGTACACAACACTATTGGACACTCATTTATACCGTTTATCAGCAAAAAAAGTGGATTTGAGGGTGAGTTGTCCTTTAAACTATTCCATTCAATTTCAATTATACTTATTCTTGTGCACAACATTTGTTATCTAGGACTTTACTAAACCATTGAATTTCCCAACAGAATCAAACTAACCTACAGTGGTTTCTGTTGTAATTTTAGGCCACTTGAGGTGAAAGTGATGTTGAAAGTGCCTAAAACCAGAGATACCCCAAAGAGGTAGATTTAAGTTCTAGAATTTAAGTAGCTATAGTGACTCAAAAAGGAAACTATTAAAGGGTATTGTTTCTGCATTGTCCCTAAAATAAATAAATACATTATTCAAATCTCATCACAGTGATTTCAAAAATATACTAAAGATGTCATTATGTGCCATAGAACATAAGTTGTCGTGCACGTACGATACAGTACTAAGAGCACACACACAAATAACGAAACAACAAAACTTAAACACAGTATAACTTTTGTACGATATATTTGGATAGGTGCTGAAAGCCATGTTTAATGCAGTAATGACAAAGCTTCCACTTCCTCAGAATGAATAGTGACTGGCTTCACGCTGATTTGCTAAAAGCTTGTTATGGTCTGTTTGTGGAATCACAGATTGTTGCCTCCGCTGCTGTAATAATTATCTGAATGGCGCACTTATTGGATCGCTGTTTTGTATGATGATGTCTAATAATACTAACATTTGTCTGTTTTTTTCTCCCTCCTTTTTCACTGCCTCCTCCAGGTTCAAAGAGTAAGTACTTTTTTTTTTTCTTTATTTCTTGCTGTTTTGTTTGTCTGTAATGACAGTTCAATGAGATATTTCATGTTGTATCACATTCAAAGACAGCAAAACGATCACAGGAACCAATTAGTATCAGGATTTCAATAGGCTGCACACTACTTCGCAAAGAACAGAGCAATCTGTGTAATTCGAGGCGATTAGATGAAGCGGCAGTATCCAATATTGCTGGAACAAGGAAAGAATAAATGAACTAGGACAAATCTATTTATGTATGAACGAGGTGTGACGATTGGGATTATGGAAAACATCAAGATATGTTTATTCAGGGTCATTAGTGTTATGATTAAAAAATATATATAATTCTTCCAATGCAATTATTTTGTATTCAACCACTAAACTTTTACGCAACAATAATTGCATTTGTTTTTTTGTACTAATACTTTTGATGTACTGAATTTTCAAATCAAAATCCACATTTCATTAACAAGCGTTTGTAAAACTCTATGTTAATACTACTTCATTAGTTTAAAACAATCGAACCAGTACATTTAAATCAGAGCAGAATATTGTGACATGTTTGAAGATTGTTAGAAGTGCTAATTATTATAAGCCCGCTGAGGAAGCTGCAAAAACAAACATTAAGGTGTGTAAAATTAGCTGCCGCTGTTTTTCCAAATGCCAAATGTTCTCACTTCAAGCTATTTTTTCATTATGGTTTTGCTTTCAGAAATGAAAAGTCTTCAAAAGATTAGATTAAAAGATATTTTTCTTGACAAGGAAAATCTTTCAAAGTCAATAATGAATGTGTATAATTGGAGTCATTTGTCCTCAGCTCTTTGTGTCTGCAGGTCTCTCATTAAGAACACATTTCAATGATCCATTACATGTTTTAATTGGCGTAAATGGAGGAAACTCTTAATTTAGATGCACACTGATTAACATTCAACAAGCTGCTAATTTACACACATGTGAACAATTGTTTGGCCCTTGTTCATTTTGTGTTCTGCACATTAGACTAATGATGATGATGACTTGTTATCACTGATTATTACTATGACGTTAGGACATCATTGTTTACTCATAAGATTAAAAAACAGCCTGGATATAACAACATTTGGATTAGTATCATGTACAAACATGTGTTATCCTTATATTAGGGTTAGTGATATCTGGTGATACAATGGTGTCATTATACAATGCAATATATCCGGATACTAAACTATATTTTCTACAGTAAGACACTTTAAGTGGAGGACAGTGAGAGTATATTGGCCCAAAATAGATGTGTATGATATCATTTCTAAATTATAAAACAAAATAAAACATTTTTTAGAATAAATTTTAGTTATCAAATACCAGCCCTTTAAGCACCAGTGGATTTTCAGAAATTTGATGTGAAACAGAAAAGGGGTGGTGCCCTGAAACTTAAAAAGAGATGGGTTTACTTAAAGACTGAATAATTTTTAATCAAAGTGAAAAGCTTCACACACTATGTACTTCCTCTTTACGCCCCTTTTGACCTCCTAAACATTCCCACTAAAGCCAGTGCACTCGTGCTCCTAAGTGTGTGTTTTGCATTAGTATCTTTCATGTATAATTGAACAGCCGCCTCTAACACGTCTCCACTGTGCACAGGCGTCAAGCCGAATGCGCCAAGACCGCGCGCATCCAGCAGGCACTTCCTTCCGGAGGCAAAGCAGCTCCAGCCTCCACCGCCGCGGCCCCCAGCGCCAATGTCTACGCAGAGCTGGGAGGGGGCAGCATGTGAGTCCAGACTGACCCTCCATTTGCACTACACATGTCAGAGCACTATGGTCAGAACACTGTGGTCAGAGCACAATGCACTAGCAGCATGTGCAAATAGTGCATTTGAGCTCAGACTTAAAGTGTGTGACAGGTTCTCATGACCCTCTAAGTTTGATAAATATAGTGGGGTAATACGTATATATATATGATTTACATGCTGGTTTTGTACCAATCAGGAAGCAGTTTGTGGAGAAAAAACAAAAATGTTGACCATTTGATCAAAATTAAATTTACCCGAGAGAGACTGAACCAAGTTTTGGGGACAATTTATCAAAAAAGCTGATTTTCTAACTTTTAAATACTAATTGTGGAGAGACACACATCAACAAATCAAGCAATTGTGTGCCAAGAGAAGTTTCTCCAAGTATTTTCGATAACAGACTGGACCCCAGTATAGATTTTGTAAGATATTACTGTCTGATGTCCTCATTTTACAATAGTATTTGCCAAAACTATTATTAATTTACCATAAATGTGTTTTTTAATAGAACATAATTTAAAGAGGACAGGGAAGAGTGGATACAGATGCAGACTTTTTTTAAATGTGTCATTATTCAGAGAATACAGTCAACTAGAATCATTTTCAATATTTATGTTCTCATTTGAAAAAAGTATATAATACACTCACACACACACACACACACTTCCTCCAGCTCTATATTTTCTTTAGTTTAATAACAATTCAAATACATTTCTATGTAATGTATTTGATACTGAACCTTAAAAGAGCAACATTATTGAGATAATATTGAGTTGCAGAGTTCATGGAAACAGTCACATCACTATAATAAAAGCTGAGTCAAACCTGTTTAAAGCTTTTCTCGCACCTGCGTCAGAACCATGCAGTGAAAATGCAGCTCACATCTTATGTCACTGGGTTTTTTTCTTTCGCTCCCTCAAACGCCTTTAGAAAGATTTTCTGTTGATTTACTTATGCATTATTCAATTCAATTTATTTGTGTATAACCCTAAATCATAACAGCAGTCACATTACATACACCAAGAACAGATCAGAGAATCAAACTGTTTGAAAGTTGTACAGGAAATGCAATAATGACAAACAGATAGGAGTCATTTATCCAGAGGGAGCGGGATGACCACTGTCCAGAAATGATAATAAATGTGCATAAATATCCCGGACCATCCGAGACCCTCCTGCATCGGCAAGGAACCACTCAATAAAGTGAGAAGCTTTGGAGAGGTCACATTGAGAGCGGGATCCAGACCGACTGTAGAACTGACTCAGGCTGTAGAATGAGTACTGAGGCACATAATGCACAGAAGGCACATTGAAACCCAAAGCGCTTAACAAGCAATTAAAAACAGACAACAAAACATCAAAACAGTTCAAATACATATGAAAAATATTGTATTAAAAATTCAGTAAAAAAGATAAAAGTGAAAACACTGTTGCACAAGCTCAGCAGGGCTGTTCCAGATTCTGGCCGCATGAATCTAAAATCAATGATGAACCACATTGAGCAGGATTTATTTTCTGATAAGCATCAAACTTTCAGCCTTTGAATTCCAGTTTTAGCATTTGAAACGTGGTAATAAAAGTAAGTAAACATGAAAATTACTCATTCATAAATCACATTAAGAACAACACAAGTGAGCTCAGCGCTGCACAGATACAACAGAACACAACACACATTACAGCTATAATGTATTCCCTGTTTGTGTAGGCCTCACGCACAATCACTTACAACATATTCAAATGACTCTCATGACTTGATCCGGCTTGACCACAGCGTACTTCTGCTTGTTAATCACAATTCTTCTCACTTTATTATTACGAGCCTTGCTTTTACTTGCCGGTCCTGGACATAAATCACTGCCGACGTTTATATGCGGCGCATTAAACTTACTAGATTATGTCTGTGTTTTTAGCTTGACCTCATGCATTTTAGCAGAATTGTCCTTCAAGAAGAAAGAGAAGGTTCAGAGAAGGCCATTATTTGGAGAATGACCTCTCTTTGAAAATAAAGTTTAGCCTGGCTTTATGGCTGTTTGGGGAATAAATCAACGAAGGTGCCACACAGGACTTTGAGTTATTCTTTGAGAATGGTGTGTATTTTTTTTTTTCCTAGACAAGTTCTCTAAACTCAGTTGTGATCGTCCTCTGAATTTAAGCTGTTTACAGTAATTGCAGACTTTGGGAAAAATATTACTGTTATTGATGAGTATTAGTAATTGGTACATGGGCCGCTGCCTCTTGTATGCAGTGATTGTTGTAGTGTCTGTTGTCGGAGCTATAGCAGTTCTCGTAAGTCTCTTCAAATAGATGGTTGGCCTTTTTTGATGACAAATTCTGATCACATCTTTAAAACAATTTGCACAAATTAAAAATGTAGGCTTGGAGTGTAGATATGAATATGAATATATGTCAAGCATTTCAATGGATAAAACCTTTTTTGTGGACTCTCATCCTCCGCATCCCAGGCCAAACAAAGTCCATTGTATTTCATCTTTATTTAGCCCAGGCATGTCCAAACTAAGGCCCACAGACTATAAAATTGCCCTCTGTGAAATGTTGTAGTTTTACATGGCCAATAAAATGAAAGTCAAAGTACACAAGTTCACAGAGTCATCCAGCCAACTCCAGCTCAGCCAATATAGATACATTGTACCTTGTTGTAAAGCCCTGAATGTCTGGAATACAGGCGTTGACTTTGTTTTACGATACTAAATATGACATTTTAGCATGCAGCACTTTTTTCATACAAATAAATGCAACAAAAAGTTAAAATTTTGGTCAAAAACAATCCCATATGCACATGACCCATAAACCAACAGACCCATCCCAAACCAGATATATTATTAAGTACACACCATGAAAAAACATAGGGTTTGGTGCAGATTTCCCTTTGATAGTTTGTATCTTTTGGGTTTTTATGTATCTGGTGAGTTTGTCATTTAGCCCAAAACTGCCCAAATCCAGTCAATCCATGTTGGCGGACCCTCGACGATTTTGCTGAACTAAAATGGCCCTCTTACTAAAAGGTTTGGACAACCCAGATAATAATTTTTTTCTGGTATACAGTTTGTACAGTTTCATTATGGTCAATACCAATCCCCAATGTGAACATGAGGAGAAGTGTTCAGGCGGATGCTACGCTGATCTGCAAATAGATTTTTGGAATACACACAATAAATAAAGAATATGGCAAAAGTAATCCTTGCAGAAGCAGGTTCAAGTAGAGTTGGTCTGATAAACAACATAATTAACGTGTATTCATGATGTGCACACAAGGTTATACAACTTGTTGCTGTGGTTATCTGTGGTAGAGAATTGTTTGACTATTTTGTGTTGCCATAGGACTAACTTATAGAAATAAGTTTGCAGAATCCTGAATCATATAGCAATTAAAAGAAGCAACACACCAACAACAATAGTGATACAAATTGTTAAATTAATAGTTTCCAATGTATTTTGAATTGTTTAGATACAGTTTTAGTTGTGTTTAGAAATTATAGTTAAGAATTCTTACTGCATCCTCTCTATCCCATTCATTATCATTTCTCCCTTGTAAAGCTCCATTCAACACAATTATTTCTTTTCTTCATTGTATTTTTCCACGTTGGTCTTCTTACCATCTGTCTGTTCTGTCTCTATCTCCATTTCCCTGTCTCTCTGGATTCAGACTGCAGTAAGTAATTTAATCACATCATCTTTTTATTAGCGCTTAGAAAATTATATGCATAGACTACATTGTGGCAAATGTAGAAGACCTTGTCAGAGAAGTCTTTTGTCCTGTTTTTTCTTTTTTCTTTTTATTAAGCAGCATATTTAAAGAGTTCTCAGTAATTTCAGCCCTTGTAGTGTATCATAAAGCTAGTCTGAAAGCCCTATAGTCTCAATTCCTTTAGAAAAAAACACCTTTCCACTGTCTGTTCACATCTTTCAGTGTACAGGCTGAATCAACCATTATTGCTTGATGTGTGGACAACATTTGATACATTTTATTAACCAAAGTTTCTTTTTGCAAACATGCCAATTACCAAGTATTTTAAACCTTCTAAAGGGCGTACTGAGGCTCTGCCAAAGTCCATCTCTCATTGTTTATAATTAAAAATCCACTAATTAAGCGATAATTGGGATCAATATGACATTTGCACTTTTGTTTTAATCAAGCTCGGTCCCACACTGTGCACTGATTTATGTGACAATAGTTGCAATAATAGCAGTTTAGCTCGCTTTTTCCTCCCCTTTGTATTGTGTCATTCATTTATCTTCACCGCTTTCAAGTCTTTCTCTTCTCCACTTCCTCCTTTCACCGGAGCAGGGTTAAAAAGTCTGTCCGTGTGGAGGCCAATCACCAAGGGAACATTGGTACCTTTCCGGATTGCGCCACAGCAGCAGCCCGCGGCAACGGAACACTGCGCGTCGGCATTCCCAAATCAGAGAGCAACGTGACGTACCTGTCGGATTACCACCCTTTGACACGCCACAATCCGGTGTACGCCGACTACAGCCCTCTCAGCAGTCCTGACTACCACACAGCCAAGGAAATGCCATTCTCCATCTCTCCCACGCACCCGGTCTGGACCATGCCCGCCAGAATCCGAGGCGGACCGCTCGGATATGAGTCCCCAAGGAGAGAAGCGCTCATGAACCAGTCGGAATGGGAAAGACACATTCTTCAGGCAACTGATAAGAGATCCAGGGAGGGGAGACCGACGTTGGATGTGCTTCGTCTGAACAGCTCGGAAACGAAGCTGTCAGTCCGCGATCAAGCCCGGCAGTTTGAAGAAATGGGCCTCCAACGGAGCTGCCAAAGCACCTTGTCTTCTGAACTGGACACGTTGGAGCCGCCTTCAGAAACTTTGCTCTCCATCCTGGACTTCCCCTACGGTCAAGCGTCAACGGCCCGAGATGAACCCCCTGGTTGGATTATCATGCAAAGAGACGGTCCTTGGCCCTCGCATGATTTGATACAGTCACCGCCTGTTCTGCGGAAGTTCAGCAACAGCATCGCCGGCTTCCTCACGGAGCGGCCTTGTCAGATCACCGTGGAGATGATCCCAGACCCCCCTGAGAAACCCGCACCTCCTCCACCTACTGTGTCCCAGCGACCGCCTTCGCCCATCACCTCTCCGCCCTCCAGCCCACCTCAATCCCCACCCACACCCTCTTACGTCACCCCCCCTCAGACCTCCTCACCACCTCCAGTCACCAAACATCCAATTCCCCCACCACCGCCGCCTCTCCCTCCCCCGCTGCCCCCACTTCGTCCTGGGATCCAATTTGTTCCAAACTTCCTGCCGTCTGCATCAACACTGAGGCCGGTATCGGAGCGCAAGCTACCCTCTGCCGCTCTGCTGGCTTCCGACTCTGGACCGGGCAAGAAAAAGGAGCTGAAAGGCATCTTGAAAAACCTGCAGAATCTTGCAGACATCGAGAGGTCTGTTGCCAACCTTTGCAGTCAAGTAGACAAGACTAACAAGGTGCCCAGGTTTAACAAGAAACCACAAGTGTTGGAGGGTTCCCAGAGCTCCATGGAGCCTCTCAGCTCTGAACCACTGCGTGAACAGGACGTGTCAAAAGCCCCATCGAACTCCACAGCTGCGAGCGAGGCTGAAAATGGAACAAGTCAACTGGCGGCAGACTCTGAGACGGAGCAGTTGAACTTGGACGACCCCAGCTGTGCAGACACGAGCGAACAGTCCTCCATTAACTCCACTGTTTTCTGATCTGAAATATCACCTCATTCTGTCCATGTTTACACTTTCAATGTTGTTGTTTTCTACATTTTCTCTCTCTTTTTTAAAACACATTATTCATACATGTTTTTGATTTCACTATGAAAAGTAGGAGTAGAAAATAGGTTGTGTTTATGCAACATCACAGCATTCCAAAGAGCTTATAGTTTCCAATTGTGGTGGAGGGAAGCTAAAAAGTCTCCCCTGGTAACCTAGTAACCAGAGGAGATTGCTATATTTGTCTTGTTAGTTTAGAGCTTATTTCTACATAATTCCACATCTTATCTGTCAGTACGTGTCATCAATGGTCTAATGGTTTTCTCATAAAGGTCTTGAATTGGTGATAATATGAAGAAAAAAAAAGCATGATTCCATTCAACAAAAGTATAATGCAGTGCATTTGTGAATCTAACCACTATCAAATAATGATCTGGGAAAACCTGTCTACAGTTTCTTATTCAACATTTCTGTCAAAAATTGCTTCTTTCCCATGAGTAGTATTGGCACATGCCCTCCAACTGGAATGCAATTCTAGAACATGAATGTAACCTATTTTTTTTTTTTTCGTACATCCACATTTTAGAGCCATTTACTCAGCGTTTAACCAGGATAACTGTCCCGTCAATAGCAACGGTTCAAACCTGACTTAAATGTAATCCGCATCAATACAAACAACAGGCAGCAATCTGCACTCATTATCTCTTCTGTGGAAATGTGGAAATGTGGAAATTCATGGTCAGTAAAGGCCTTGTACCTGATTTACACAAATCTTCACGCTTCTTCTAGAACTCCAAGAGCAGTCATTTGTATGGCTCCCAATCAGTGGTGTGATTGATTGGAATGGTCTGCATGGAATTCTAAAAAAATCCCAAAAAGCTGTTTTATTTTTTCACTACGTTTTAAAATGGAGCAATTAATATGTTTCCATAATCTTTACTAAGTGATAAACTATATAACTAAAATACAGCAAAGAAAAAAGCTTGTTGAAAGGCTTCTAAATCCTTACTGCTGTCAGGTAAACAGTGTGTTGTTATGGGAAATTGGTTTTTCCAAGATGAGATTGCTCTGAACCCGTCCAGAACCAGGACAAGTTCCTTTAACTGCCATAGAATGTTGGTTGCAAAGTGAATGCTATGGGAGTTAAAGGTAGAACTAATCCCTTTTTAAAATTCAAAGATTATTAAAAAAAAAAAAGACATACAAAAAAACTACACATATAGAAACAGAAAAAAGTTACAAAGTTAGGAAGACCAAAAATCAGTCAATCACATTGTATTTATAAATCTAGTTTCATTCAGAAAATGCAACCCAAAGCACTTTACAGTTTGGTAAAAAAGTATCCCACATGCCCATGACCCCTCCACCCAACCACCCAACCGATCCACCCAAACCACATGTATTATTAAGTACACACACACACATGTACACTTTTTGTTACAATTCCATAACAAAAAGCCATCAAATTGACTGCTCTGGGAGTTCCGGTGTTGGGGCAAACTACCATGACTGAGTTTACAGGTGCTTTTCCCAGCAAGAGCCAGTCACGTTTACATTACTTTCCAGCGAGCTGTATTTACAACATATGTGTACTGTACATGTTGCTACATCGAGAAATAATGGGTACAGGCTTCAGCATGATTTGTGAGATGCATAACGTTGTTTATAGCTCTCCTGTAATCAATGGGATGATACCCAACAAGCCAAACACTTTCTTCCAGCTATTAAAGATGCATCCATTAATCAGTTCTGCTTAGTTTTATAGCCATTTTATGACCTCACCTTTTATCATCTAATTTACGATGGTCATACACTTCATTTTTGATTGTAATATTTAGACATTAAATTTTAAAGCCACCACCTCTTGTGAGTATGTTTCAGTTCTTAATCTTTACATGATCCTTTTATCACTAAAGCTTTGAACTAATTGAATTAGGAGAAGGATTCCAAAGCACACAGCTGTGGGCTGTCTTCTGTAAACGTGTGCTATGATGTGGATTAACTTTGCTTGCTTGCTCAGATAAGAGCGTCTGTAGTGAGAGGGACGTGGCCCCTGCAGACTGCAAATTACTCAAAAGAAAAACGAGCATGTTGCCCATTATCTCATTCAATCTTATGCAGCAGGATTTACAATTCAACATACTTAAAGCTGAGGCACCTAATTTTCAACCACAAAAAAATATGTAATTTATAAAATAGTTTGTGGATCTAAAACATTTCAGTTCTGTCACTAGTTTTCACATGCATTGGCTTATGTCACATCTTCAGCATTTTCAGACAGAAAAGTTAACCCACACTCAGCTCTCAACCCAAAGAGTCAAATAGTGACCCACAACGGTGAGGGTTATGGTAAAAACCTGTTAAATTCTCACAATAATTTAACAGGTTTTCTATTAAGAAGGTTAAAGCATGTTGTGGACTGATTTGTTTACTTTTTCTGTTGGACAAATATAGATAACTTAGGGGGAGAAAAGTTAGGTAGTCACCCCAGCTTTAACTTCACTTGTATGACTTATAAAGACAAAGATACACAATAGACTCCTCTACAAACTTATATGGGGCACTTTTGCTGAATATGTCTGCTGCACGTTTTATAGAGACTCATTCTATTCCACAAAACCAATGTAGCACAATTAAACGAAACAATAATTTAGCCTCCTGGAAACCTCGGCCCTATTTGTTGTCCTCTGAACGAGCCTCGTGGGGCTTTTGTTGCGCTGTGAAAGTCTTCCTCTGGGCTCTTGTCTCATCCGCGGTGATCCTAGCAGCATGATAAAGCAGCATTGTGGATCTGCACACTGGTAAAAGGCTAATTAGAGAACCAATCAATCCTTAACCAGGCTGCACTGCTGCCTGTGGGACTGTCAAGTAGTGTTACCCTCCGCTTTGCTTTTTCTATCCCAGTGACCTTCTCCGTGTCCCATTTGTCTGCTCCCTCTCCCCACCACGCCTCTGCGCTAATCTGTAAACCTCCAGAGATTCCATTACCTTTTTTATAGCACTAATTGTCATGCAGCTTCCCATCCCATTCCTGTGTGCACTTGAGCTGTTTTCATTTCCCCCCCTCTTTTTTGTATATTTGTTCGACTCCCCATGCCCCAAGGCGAACGGCCACAGCATACCACTAGAGTAAGGGCAATGTTTCATTCATGCTGCGTTTTTTCCCCTTGACGACCAAATCGAATGGCGGCTAATTTTGTATTCCCTGTCGCGACATGGGGTAATCTCTTCCTGTAAAAAGGCGGTCTGCCCACATGCTGCCACTTTCAGACGACATGCGTTTGTGAAGCCCTCTCTCTGGATTTGGTTTGTAGTGAGTTTCTATTGATACGTGTTTTGACACAAATTCATTCATGATTCAATTTTGAATCCTTTTTTCCATATGGTATTGATCAAATTAGGTGTAAAGTTAGCTCAAAGTAATATCCGTCTTGTCATAAATTTAGCGTTACTGTTCTTTATGTATGATTTAAGGCCATTATGATAATAATAAGGAATTATTTTATGTTACACTTTTTGAGGAAACTCAAAGAAGGCTTCCCATGTCCTTATTCATTCACTCCGTATACACAGGTGATCAACTGTCACAGCTGCCCTGGGGCACACTGAGAAAAGTGTAGCATCCAGCATGTGCCTTCAGCCCCTCCGATCACCCCCTATCCTCCATTCACACACACGCAGACACACACACCAGACTCATTTTAGGCATTGTATAGGTTAGCTTTAGAGTTCTGACAGGATCTGTCTTCCACATGCAGGTGGTGCCACAACAAGAAAAAATCAATTAAAGTAGGTCCAGTTGCAGTTATCAAGTTTGAACAGTCAAAAACCAACATTCCTCCCTTCTTCGCCAAGTACTGCCCAGTTACCTCTCCAATGGGTATTGTGATAGCCCCCAGGTATGTGTCTGAAACTGGACGGACTGACCTGAAATTCTGTGTTTATATGGGACGTCATAGTAGGAAAACTTCATTCAACTGTTGGGGTGACTGTGGCCTTGGCGGGGTTTGTGCTCCCAGTTTGGATTGTGGTGGTGGGAGAAGTTTAGCGTCTTAGTCACACTTCAAAAGAGAAAGTTGTTTAGTCTATATAGATTTTACTTTTGATTCTACATGTATTGGAAAGATGTCAAGGGTTCTACTAAGCTCGTAGCCTCTTTGTCGGTCCCTCCTTCATCAACATAACTGCATATACATATCCAACTACAAAGGAAAGGCTTTTATAATTGTTGATTGTATTTTCAATTTGGGAAAGTGCCTCTGATGTCGCGCAATGTATTTGAATCCAGACATAATGCGATTAGCAAATGCATATACAAACCAAAATAACTGAGCCATGTTCTGAGCACGCCAAGATATAGCGCATTTCAAACAATCTAAATTTGTGGTTTTCTACAAATCCAGCGTTTGCATTGAAATATTTGAAGTCAGATATTTCCGTCATTGCTTCAATTTTCAGAAATTTAATGCAAAACAGATAAATGGTGGAGTGAATGAAGGACTAGAAAATCTATAACAGAAATCTATGTGTAAAAAATGACAATTGAAGTAGATAAGCCCTTTTGGCATTGTATGGCACTGCAAGTTTATTTTTATTGCACAGTTCATACACAAGGCAACTTAAAGTGCTTAATAAAACAGGAAAATAAACATTAAAATCATGAATAATCACAGTGATTAGAATAAGATTAAAGTGAGTGGAGATAAAATCCTTCAGTTTTGTGCATAGATAAACAAAATGGGTTAGGATTAGGCCTGGGATCTCAACATAGAAGCATAGAAGCTTGTCTCACGTTTTCATGAAGACTGTTTTACTGTAGCTATATAAATCTGAAATAGGAAGAACACGTTCTGGATTCATCAGCTTTTGTAGCTATGATACTGCCGTTAACTTTTATGTCTTATTTTGATCAGTTCTGATTTTAAAATAAAATCTTTCCTGTTTTTACAATTTAAAATTTTGGTAGCGTGATTCAGAATTTGACCAGAAAGGAAGAAAAAGTTCAATCAAATAACATTTAATTGCCTTACAATTAAATACTAATACTAAACTCTTTGTGCTCCTATTTCCCTCACTATCCTTAAAGCTGAACCAAAAATCTGCCCCTCACACAAAAGTCCACTGAGATAATTACAGTTGTGATTTAGGGCTATACAAGATTACATTGAATTGAACTGAAAATGAATACATCCTCTGCATAGACTGTAAATATTAACGAACGTAGTCATGCCTATCTCCGCCATTCTAACTAATGTGCCACAACTTCCGCGGTCTATGGGCAGTTTCAAAATGGCCGCGGGGGCTGGAAGATGTGGAAAAACGCATCTGTGCATGCGTCAGCTGGCACGAGACACATTCATTTAGTGCCTTCAAAAATTCACAGCGACTAAACTAGACTGGTCCAAAAAAATTCACTCCCCTCAGCATTGACACACATGTGGAATATAACTTTGGGTCAATTTTTGGACCATCCTGTAAAGACATTTTCGAGAGGTAAGAAGATGCTATATGTTAGCATTGAATAATTCTTATTCCGGGTCCACCCCCATCGGCCCTGGGTGGTTTTGCAAGCATGTCAGCGCACTTCATTTTGGCCACTTGTGCCACTTGATTTGGGTCCCGCCCTCACTGATCCTCTGTAACAGAATTTGAGTCCTAGTTTTTTCTAGTTTCAGGCTGTTATTCCACATTAGAAACCCCGTCGTATACAAGTGTATAACCTCAGCACTTCTTTAATCCTCAATCTCACCCCATCGCCCATTAGCCCAGTCCCCAGTCCGCTGGCCATGCTTCTGCCTGCACATTTCTCTTGATGGGGCTGTATAGTTGCCAGGAGCCAGAAGCCGCAGCTGGCTCCCATCCATCAGCTCCCTGGCCCCCATCACGCGTCCCCTCTGTGCCTGGGAGGTGTGGTCGTGTCCCTTGCTCTCCTCCAGCCCATAATAACAGATTACAAGTCTCCCCAGGAAGCTCACATCATCACACGGCCATTTATCTAAGCGTGCGAGTTGTCATCGTTTGTGGAGGCTTGCAGGTTACCGTGGTACCCTTGTGGTCCTGCAGCCATCAGGCCCATCCTTGTGAGACGATTTTATTAATTTCATTTCATACACACCTACGCATTTACAAGCGAGTTCGCAAACATGTCAAAATGCAGCCACCGGGTAATTCCAAACGCCGTAGAATAGGGTGAAATAAAAGCTGTGTCAGATTTACAGAGAATGGCAAACTCGAGCACAGTTTTTCCAATCCTGGGGCTACACATTTTATTCCCATAGGCTGCTCACAGATGCAGGATATGAAGGACACAAACAAGCTGGAAACAAGTGTGACTAGAATTATTTTCATATAAATAAGCACTGTAAGCGTTGTGGAAGTGAACAGGAATTGTATTAAAGGAAGTAAACCTCTCGCAAACCAAAATGAATTAAACAATGTCATAAAATTGACCAAATATTTATAATAAATAATAATGCATTGGTTTTATATAGTGCTTTATGGACACCTTAAAGGCGTTTCACGTGTTATTATTCATTCACTCCATACACGGTGAAGATCAACTACGACTTCAGCCACAGCTGCCCTGGGACTGACGGAAGGCGAGGCATCCATTCTGTACCATGGGCCCCTCCGATCCCCACCAACCATTTGCACACACACCAGACTCATTCCAATGTGGGTGAAGTGTAGTAGAAAGAATGTCATTGTCTGAGTTGTTCACAACATTTTGCTTTTACAAGACTTTCTGTTGGAAAATGGTGCATTATTTAGGTAAAAGTTAGGTACTCAAGCTTTAAATTCAACTTCCTCCTATATCTTTTTGTACAAATGTAGTTATTCTATTTGCATTGAATTATGTATACATGCATGCAGTATGTGTATCTGATAACTTGGCAAATATGACTTTCTCCGTCAAAAATATAGAATCAACCAACCAGGCTTCATTTTCATTTTTGATGACTTTTTCCGAAACAAACTTTGGATGCACTTTCTGTCCTCACATGAAACTTGCTTTTGACAAGTCCCAAATTGAAGTGCATATTATTACGATGACATCAGACAATTTCATTAAAACGTCTTCAACAATGTCTTTGCATTTCTGCGGGGAGATGCTCTAGATATTTCTGTGGAAACAAAGTCGTTTCCCATCATCCAATCTTCTCTTCAGCGTCCTCAGCATTTGCACCAAGCATGCACTTGACTTCACAAAAAAAGGGGGAAAAATTGCCTTTTGCTATTTTGATAACATTACTGCAATAAGCTGCTGGAAAAGTCATTTATATAACATGAGAAAACGCACAGTAAGTAAAACGCAGTTGTCGTAGCAGTAAATTGTAGAAGCAGTTGAAAGTGTTGTCGTCTATCCATATTCATTATTTGTCTTGCTTCTTTCTGCTCTTCTTTTGCAGGCGGGGCAGACCGGTAAGCAGCCGCTATTGTGATGTGTTCTTATCTTTGTGTTGTGCCAAGACATTTGGCCGTTCTTCATGCTGCTTGAGGCGGCTTATACCCCATTATTCTTATCTGCCACTCCTCTGATGGAAAGCACTGAATGAGATTAAGATGAGATAGCACTCCAAACACAGACTACATAGTTAAGGTTGATTCGGGAGCTTCGCACATCCCCAAACGCGACATTTCCGACAGCTGGAATGGATTGCCTCTCGCTGTTTTTGCCCACAGATAAAAAATATAATCAGGTGACAATGTTAGTTACTGGTAAGCTGAGAACTTTAATTCTTCTTCATCTTCAATCTCTGCTTCTATAGCCCTAAATCACAACAAAAGTTATCTCAGATCACTTTACAGAAACTTATATATTGGTCCATAAGGGGCAGATGACCAGTGACCATAGATGTTGTTGAAAGTACTGAAAAATCTACTTTTTTTTTGCTTTTAACAATGCAGCAATATTGTTCCCTCATCAAAAACAGACCTGGAGCACAACATGTTTAACCCTGCCCCTTCTGTCTAAACTCTCCTGTCTTAGTCCTATAATACTATGATCATGAGATGAAATGAAAAAAATAATAATAATAAACGCAGGACTGAGACTAGTGTAATTTAATGAAATAAAAACAAATCCAGGGTATCAATAAAACACAAAAATCTAATCTTAAAAAAGCTGGGAACAAAACATAGGAGGTGAAATTATTTTTATGTAGATTATTTACAATCACATTTCTGTTTTTGCAGCTGGTAAATTTCAAATAAATAAAAAATCTACCTCCCTCTGTTTGTAGCATGTTCAGTCCATGTACGCTTCAAAAAACAATCTATCAATTAATCTCTATACTAAATTAAATAATTGATACATGATAAACTTGTTGCCCATAACAATCTTTAGAGCCGTTATGTGAAACAAGTATATTATAGTTATTAGATTTCATTGTAACTGCCACAACACCAGGAGTTACACATTCAAAAGTCATTTATTTATTTATCTATGTATGTGTTTGTCTGTTTGGAGGATCCCAGGAGCCCAAAGAGATGAATCATCTCGTTTTCCAGGGGGTCCTCAAACACATAATTAAAGCTAGCGTACCTGACTTTCAAACCGCAAACAATGGAACTATGTAATGAGGTCTATGTAACTAGTTCCTCGCTCTCACAACTGTTTGGTTCCACTAGTTTTCACATGCATGTTTGTGGTCTTAACGTTAGACTCTAGAGCGGACCACCCTCACTCAGCCAATCAGCTCTCAGCCCAAAGAGTGAAGTAGTACCAATGCAAAATGTAAACGGCTTTAAAATAGGATGAAGGCAGGGTGTTTTGGTCTGATTGGTTCACAAATGTTTATTTTTCTGAAGTCTTTCTGTTGTGATAAATAACATAGATTAAGTATAACCAAAAAACCATCTTCAATATATTTTACCAATTGAGTAGTTTATTGGCAAAAACAGATACATGCCATGATATAGGTATTGGAAAGTCTCACATGTGTCAATAACAAACAATATTAAAATATTATATCTAGAGCAGCCATTTCCAAAGTCAGTAACACCGGGGCCCCCTTAAAAATCATAAGGGTCTGCGAGGCCCGCCGAAATAATAACCAAGAAGACAACGTTAAAAATAGGCTTTTCTCGTTATTTTATTTGGGGGAAATAGCCTCTGCTACAAACATGTAAATGACCATCCCCACTTTGTAATACAAAAAATATTACAATTTGATGATCCAAGTCAAATAACAAACACAAATATTGTAATATTACAAACAAAATAATGTTAATTTAACATTAACTAATTAAATAAAACATTTTTTTGTTTTTTTTTTATGACCTCTCGCGGCCCCCCTTCAGTACCGTATCCCCACTTTGGGATACACTGATCTAGAGGAATACAACTTTGTGACAAATTATCAAAATGGAGAAATCTGTTTTTGCAATTAAAGTCTTTAATTGTTTTATGTTCACTCCTTGAAGAAAGCAATGTAAAAAAAAAAAAATCCTAAGATGTATGGCCTTTACCAATTGGTTGAGATGCAGTTTGATGGTAAAAGTGATAGAGATGCCCCAAAGAGATAGATTTCAGTTCCAAGCTTCAGGTAGATATAGTGACTCAAAAAGTGATCCACCAAAGGGTTGAGGAAATTACTAAAGGGTTAATGAGAAATGTGTTATGACATTGTGCGTAGCTTGGTCTGCAAGGTGTTCTACAATACAAGTGTCTCATTCAGTGCTGACTCAAAATGTACACTTTTTTATTCCGAATTTGTACCTTTTCATGGTTGTTTAGTTTGTCCCCTTCATTTCATTCCTGCATGTGCTTCATTCTTACAAATTATGTATGCCTGCGAGCTCTCTTATCAATATTAGATTAATCCTTTCATCTTCCCGTAAATAAAAGGAATTTTGCAAACAGTTCGCCTTCTGGCTTTGAACGTTCTCTCCTTGTGTTTGTGCCTCTCCTGGCCATCCTTCCTCTCCTTTCCTCCTGCACTAATCTCTGGCAGCAACAGCAACTGCTGAGGCCATCTCTTCTGAGACCTGAGGTAGACGTCTTCCTGCTTTTCTTAATTCTCTGGAATTGTGTGTCCGCTACTCTTTGCTCTCCCATCTCCTTTAACTCAGAATGCTGACCAAATTCTCTGCTTCTCTGTTCCGCAGGAGCTGTCCATGGAGGCCGGCCAGGACTACTATTACGAGCAGGGGTGAGTGGACAGCAAGGTGGTCAGAGGGACAGAAGTGTAAAAGTGGGTTTCTTATAACTACAGCTGAATCTCTGGAAATTATAATACTCTTCAAAGTTAATTCTGGTTTATTTCTGTAATTCAACGTACAATGTGAAACAAAGTGTTTTTGTGTGATAATAGCTCACAGTCCAAAAATATTCCAACTCGTAGATGTTTCATTTTTTTTGGAATTACAGCTGTGAGCCTGTAAATGTGTTTACAGGCAAATTTTTACATTTGCAAAAAAACAACCCAAAATCATCACCTCCCTCTGGTGGTAGCATAGGGATAGGGCAGGCCCGACAGCATAATAATAACAAATCTTTTTTAAAGACAATGTCTACAAAGTATTGCTCAGCATAAAGCAAACAAACAGTCATAATACCTTCGTACTTGTTTCACCATATATTTTTTTACTGAAGATATTATTCCACTTTCCAAAACATGCAGAAAAAAGTCAATGGTTTCATTGTTATTGTAATTAAAGAAGAATAATGTCATATTTCTTCTTTAAAATGATGTATAACATGTCATAGTAGCCCATTACCATCAGTGCTGCAATTTAAAAATAATAATTGAAAATCATTTCAGGGGCCAATAGAAATTGTCTCTTGAGTTTGACGAGGCTGGCACACAGTCTCCCATCCGTCTTGCCCTCCGTCTTGCCCTCCCCCTCTGCCTGATCTCTTCATTTGAAAAAGAAAAAGAGCCTTGCTAAATAATATTTACCATGACTAGGTGTTTATCTTTCGCTGCTTCAGTCCTTCGGGGTGAAGCGTCTTGAATTTTGGAATAAACGACGAGCGTGAGTTCTGCTCCCCTCAGCAGAACGTATCAGAGTGTTTACCCTTTACTGCTCCCATAAAATGAGATCAATTATGCCGCCTTGAGTCTAACCCTGTGAAGCACAAGTGTTCTCCCTCTGATGATGGGATGGGGGCTGTTTGGGCCTGTGTGTCACTGTGCCCATATGGTGGAAATGTGGGAAAACACTGGCCTCAGAACAGAACAGCTGCTGAGAAATTGTTATTCATTCAGCGCGGCCGGTCTATGGCAGGTGACACGCAGGTCTCCTGGGATCATGGTGAGTTTATCAGAGGATGCAGCGCTGAAGGCTAACGCTACTGCAGAGGCTTTTGACTTCTCCCAAAGCAAAACAGTTCCAAATTAATGTAGACAGCTTTATTGATCCACAAGGGTAATCAAATGAACAGGGAGAATTGTGAATTGTGTGAGTGTGAGTCAACTTTCATACAAAGGACATAACATCAAGTTAATGATAGTTAGTCTTACATTGCTCTAAAAGTAGATGCATTAGTAACTACCTTCTTAATAATGATAATAAACAATAAAATAAAAAAAGACTGTGACTGAGAGCACTCTGTTGGATCGATCGTCACAGCATTGATAGAATAAAAAATGCATTGCTTATTTGGACGCTCAAAGATGCTCCACAGAGCATTATTTTTTCACTCCATACACAGTGTGATAAACTGCCACTGTAGCCACAGATGCCCTGAGGCACACCGACAGGACAAACTGCGAGGAAAAGCAGTATATATCTGCCCCTCTGACTCACACACACACAAGACTCATTGTAAGTAATGTGGGTGAAGTGTCTTGCCTCAGGACACAATGACAGTCCCCCCCCATTGGCACCTGGTGATCCCAGAGGTCTGACAAGATCTGGCTTTCACATGCAGGTGGCGCCACAAACCAGCTGCATTGTGTGTTGGACTACTCTGTTACTGGAGAGATAATGCTACCCTTCACACCCACAGTGTACGACAGGGGAGCTAATGTAATTATGTTTATGTCAGGAGCAAGATCTGAGCCTCCAACTTCCAAATCAGAAGTCCCTTATCGCCCCTCACTGCACTTGTAACAATCATTATTAAATATTGTTCCTAAGGTTGTCAGAAGTATTGAGTATCAAGCACTAAAGATTGTATTGATGCAGTAAATATACCAAAAGTAAACTATATCATATGAACCCGTAAAAATATTATTTTGAGTTTCTTGAAAATGAAACCTTATTGTCCAAAAAGAACATTTTTAATTACGGTTTTGATTCTAAATGCATCAAAGATTCTGGTATCAAATCGAGTTTGAAATGGTGATAAGACGAACGGCTGCGGTCACAAACAAAAATAAAGAGAAATTGTAGTAATTTTCAAATCAGCAACCCTTAGTTTCTCACCACTGCCCCACTGTCAAGGTCAACTTTAGTTATTTCGCACATATATAATCAGGTTTATTCCTCCCAAAGTGTGTCCCAATCCGCCCCAGATCACTGTCTCCCTTCAGTCAGAAAACAAACCAGTCACAATAGAAATCACAGCTTTCATACAATCCCTCTGTTGTTTGTTGTCATAACTTGTCTGTCACTGGGTCACGTCGTTCGGTGGTTACTCTGAGTTCAAACAAGCTGTAATTATGCTGCTGTGATCCGTTGGCCTTGTTGTGAGAGGGCCACTGCTGCCACACTGTGGTTGGACTCCACCAGGTGTCTTTGATGTATTTCTGTTTGCATTAAGAGGTGAATGATACCGCAGTTAAGCTGTTAATCCAGTAATAAAGCCGTGCCCTCCGTGGAGCCACTGAGCGAACATGTAGGAAGCCACCAATGACTCACAACATTCCTTCTATCCAAATGTGAAGCTCCTCTTTCATTTTGCTCTTTAGGTAGGAGGAATTATGTGCATCTAGGTTTAGTCAAACTAATTGTGTCACCTGTCAAGCCTAAGCAGATAATGATGACTCTTGCTGTGTGTCTCAAAATGAATTATCAGTGAATAAATATGAACATATTCTCCAGAAAATACAGTTAGTCTCAAAAGTACACACAAGACTTTACACATATTTGGTCAGTGTTGAAAAGAAAAACAAACAGGATGTAGACAGTCATATAAAAAGTGTATTATTAAAAGCATTTAATACATATTAATTAACCAATTTTTCCCCTGTATTTTCTTATTTCCTAGATATGGCAGCCGGAGGAGGTTGATTCCACCAATGTATGATGAATATGGAGAGATATTGGAAGAAGACTATTACTACAGTCCACAGGTACTTCCGTCCTTACTTTTTGTAAATCACATTCATCGTTTATTATAATGCTATTTTTGGTGTGAAGTTCCAGAGTTTTGTTCCTGTAAATGACAGCTGTTTTAATTAAATGTGACTGTCTTAGATCCGGGGTCGAGGTCGTGGCATGCGTGGTAGAGGCGGACCTAAGAGGGTAGGTTTTAGAGACTTGCCGCCAGAGGAGGAGATAGAGCAAGCAGAGCCTATTGAGGAAGCAGAGCCCTCTAAAGCTGCCAAGAAACTCAAGTCTGTCATGAAACTCAGTAAATTCCTAGCGGCCAGCAAGGGAGGGGATCAGCCGTCAGGGGCTGGCGGTTCTCCATGGAAGAGGGCCAAAATGCTGAAGATGTTTGGCGGTAAAAAGAAGGACGATGACTACGCCAAACTAATGTCTGCTCGCCGTATTGACAGTCTAGATAGTCTGACAGACGGACCTGCTCTTACTGGACCCATCGACAGCAAGGTGGAAACTCGAAGCAAACTTGGCAAGGTGTTCAAGAAGATCAACCTGGGAGCCAAGTTACAGGGCCGATCTATGAGTGCAGAAGAGGAAGGCTCACAAGCCGCCAGCGAGGACGACAAGAAGTCCAAAGTGTCCATTAGTGTGACTGAAAGTGAGGCTGAAGCAAGTGGTAGCGGAGAAGAGAGAGAAAGAGGCACTGACGAGGAGAGCAGTGGTGACAAAGACTATCTGAAAGTCGACTTAGATAAGGACTTGGATCGGGAGAGCACAGTGGATTCTGACGAGGAGGCAGAGGAGTCAGGAGAGGAGAAATCAGAGGAGGAAGAGGGGAGTGAAAAGGAGTCGGGTTCAGAGAAAGGGTCTGAGTCGGAGAAAGGGTCTGAGTCGGAGAAAGGGTCAGAGTCGGAGAAAGGGTCAGAGTCGGAGAAAGGGTCAGAGTCAGAGAAAGGGTCAGAGTCGGAGAAAGGGTCAGAGTCAGAAAAGGAATCAGAATCAGAAAAATCAGGCTCAGATAAAGAGAGTGAAAGTGAGAAGGAGTCTGCGTCAGAGAAGGAATCTGAATCGGAAAAAGAATCAGAATCAGAGAAAGAATCAGGCACAGGTTCTGGTTCAGGGTCAGGGTCTGCTTCTGAAAAAGAGAGTGGCACTGAAAAGTCTGAGACAGAGAAAGAGACAGAAGATGAGGAAGACGAGGAAGAGCCTTCGGGAGGGACAGAAGAGAGTGGGTCATCTGCTCGCTCCTCCGTCCGGTCCTCCGCCACACAGGCCAGTAAAGGCAGCGGTGCAGGCAGTGGGAGCGGAAGTCGAAGTGGTAGCGAAAGTGCTAGTGAGACTGTTAGTGAGAGCGCTGGTGAAAGCAGAAGGTCATCCCAAAGAACTCAAAAGTCCAGCGAGGACCTTAGTGAACCTGAGTCCGGAACAGGAACTGCCAGTGATTCCGAAGCAGGTTCCGGGAGCGAAGAGGCTCCATCTCACAGATCTAGTCAACAGTCCGGGTCAGAGGCCAGCGGAGGGTCCTCAGGCAAAAGTCAAATGAGCGATCAGAGTTCAGTAGCAAGCGAGGAAAGCTCTGGAGGGTCAAGATCCGCAAGCGGTAGCCAGCGATCTAGGAAGTCCACCGTGACACCCTCTGAAGCTACCATAACTGAAGAGAGTGAAGAGGAAGAGGAAGAAGAAGAAGCTGTTGAGGAAAGCAAGGAGTCTTCCAGCGAACAGAGCGACGCCTCCTCGTCCAGAAGGTCCAGTGTCTCCTCGGAAGAAGCCGGCCCCTCTGCCCCCGTCAAAAGCCCCTCATATCCCACAGAAATCAAAAGCATGAGCGCCACCTCCGACGAAACCTACGGAGGACTCTCACCCATCACCGAAGTGGATGAAGACGCCATCTCATCCGACAGGTCTTCATCCGGCGGAACGAATGCTACGACTGATTCCGACTCATAGTCCGGAGTCAGGATTTTGTCAGCAGTGAAGTAAGAGTGTGAATATAAACCTGTCTTGCATGGGATTGAGGTGAACACTGCCTTCTTCGACAGAGTGCTTCAGATACCCACTTTTTCTTTTCCCTTACCAAGCACAAAACTTTGCAGATACTCCGCTGCACAGCCTCTTGCACATAGTTAACTTGCTTCTGTCTATGACTTGTTCTTTGGGTGCCTTTTCTGCCTTGTCTGATTCCTGTCGTGGGACTTTGTGACTGTGTGCTTGAATATCTGTTTTATTCTCACAAAAAAATAGGATACAGCTTTTTTCATTACGATAAAGCTGTCTATAAGTTGAAGAAAAACATTCCCTTCCCTCTGCTTGCTCACTATAATTGGAAGGTATTGTATATCAAGTTATTAGTATTGTACCCTGGGGTCTTTTTACCACTTTTGATAAACCCTATTTGTCAACTATTGCGCTCAGACTTCGAGAGCTTCTGGTGAGAAAAAGAGAAGGTCTATTAATCAGATTGAGACAATAATTAAAACGGTGAAAAATATTCCGCCATCTTCAGTCATGAATAAATCATCTACATCAATCTACGGCTTTGGAGAAAACAGGCTCAGAATTTTTTATTTTTTTTAAGATATTAATCTGGAACTTGTATGCCTTTTTGTCCAGTAAATATGAAATCAAGTACATATTATTATTAGTGCATTGAGCATCTATGGAGTGAGAAAAAAAAGTCACACAACCCAAAAACAGGGTTGATAATAGGAAAAAAAATATTGTTCTCTATTTAGATCAAAAATCATAAGTTAATTGCAAATTTTTATCAGCCACAACATCATTATAGTCATTTTTATGTACTAATATTTTGCTTTAATGGACTTCTTTCTCCACCAATAACAAACCAGATAAGCAGTTTGCGTTTTTATTTCTCCTTTGTATATTAACGCTGCTTGTTTCACCTTTTCAGTCCGGCAGAAGGAAGCGGATCAAGCTGGTGGTGGATGGCGATACCGGGACCAGCTCTACGGGAGAGGAGAGCACCACAGAGACCCCCCAGTCCTCCCTTCCCAAACCCAACAGCCACGGCAACATCAACGGGAGCATCTACCTCGCCCAAAATGGAACTATTGTCAGAACGCGCCGAACGCCGCTCCCAAACAATCTAAAGTCGGGCTCGCCGTGTCGCCTGGCGGAGCATTTCAAAAAACTCGACAAGTTGGGCATCACTCTCGAGGAGCCGCCTTCGCCCGTCTCCTCCACTGACGGGACTTTAAACGGGACAGAGAACGGGACGAGCGTGCCGGTTTTCGCTAACGTGGACGTCAATCTCAACACGTGCCCCTCCGCCGGCTCCTTGGGATCCGGCATTGTGGTGCTCAAAACGTTCGGCCCCAGAACTAATGTAAGCAAGGCGGTGATCGACAGAAACAACAGTCGCATCAGCTTGGAGCAGGAGACGTGCGTTGACAACCATAAGGACAGCCGATCCACGCCGGAGTCCCAGAGCGAGCACACGGACGAGGGCGAGCTGTGGATGGGGCCCTGGAACAACCTGCACATACCAATGACAAAACTCTGACTGGCCATGCTGGAAATGTATTTTTGTTTTTTTGGTATTTTTTTTACTTTCATGTAGAGGTGGGCGATACTGACCAAAAATGTGGTTATTATGAGAATCAAATATATTTTTCAAAACATCAGACATTTGTTTGTATGAGTTTGGGGTTGGGCTGCATAATTAATCACAATCAAATTGGCTCTGATTTGATTATTGCAATTTTAATGGAAAAAGTTAGCTAATGGCAAAGACAGCAATGGTAGAAATTCTTGACAAACAACAAACAAATCAAAAAATAATTAGATTTACCAATTTTTTTTTGAAGATTTTCCAATTTAATAGTATAGACACAGACCACAACTTTGTTTAAATGTTTTAGAGACATTTGTTTTTTGCAATTAATCCACTCTTATTATAAAAATGATATTTTACTATAGCTTTGTTTATTCCTCTAAAAATCTTTTTGCAGCTTTTAACTTTTGTCTATTTCAGCTGCACACTCAAAGTCATGTAATGAAATGTTCTGGCTATTATTTCCTCTGCCTTCATGGCACCATTGATCATATGATCCACTTTTACACCAGCGTACAGGCATTTTGGCACCTTTTTTCTCTGCTCCTCATTATCGTCATCTGCTGCTATGTTGCCACTTCGTTGTGATGACTTTTACGGTGATGTAGTGTAACAGGACAGTTATATTATAGAACTTTAATAAGATCTGGTGAATCCAAGATGGCGACGACAGAATGTGCCTGCAGAATTAGATTGTATTTAGCAAAGTTACTTTTAGGCATTTATTCATTATTATTTTTCATCAACAAATATACGTGTATGTCAAACATTCAACAAAAAAACAAATAGGATACAACATTGCAAAAACACACTCAGACATAGGCCCAAACCCTCTCTGACCCTACACCTCTCCCCTCTACAGACTTATTTTTTCTTTTTATGTAAGGCTTTGAAATATCTATATCTGTATGTTATGCTTCCTCCTAGTCTGCAATTATGGTGATCAAGTCTTGCCATTTAAATTCTCTCAAATATATTTTTCATTATTATTATTATTCAATGTTAAAGTACACCAAAATCATGTCTATGTGCTATTTGACCTCATAAAACACATACTTTACACAGCGGCTATGTGGGAGTTCAGTGGGTGGTGTGTACGGAAGCATTTTATCTTGCATCAAGAGAAAGGAGATGAATCCAGGTCATAATATAAATCTATGGGCAACTTACAGTACACAGAAAACTTTAAAGGGTACATCAGCTCAAAGATCAACTTTTCTCAACTGTTGACGTTATTGTTGTTTTCCCTTGTCATTCACACACATTTTTTTCTTGCTATTCATGTTCGAGTTATTTATTGTATATTCTCATTTGGCAAACACCGCCACAGCTCTCCCCTCAGTCCTCTGACTACTGACACTTCGCCCGGGTGTTGATTACATTCTTTGGCAGTTTTTTTCTCTAAGTCCGTGGTATGTGGTCATTTTTTCTCAATGGAAAAACTGAAAATCACAACTTGGTCCGTGGAGAAGATGTGTGCCCGTTTCACCAACACTCTCTGAAAGGGGCGGGGCTAATAGGACTTAAGGTGGAGCTACATGACTGGTTTCTTTCTACGACATCATACAGACAGCCTACCTTATTAAGTGCATACTGTGCCCGCCAACTGCAGGACGTGAACTCGCCACCATGATTCGTTGGCGTTAATAGCTGTACAATACCATTCACTAAGGCTGTTTTTACAACATAACACTGTCGACGTTGCTTCTGCATCGTTGCTTCTGCATCGTTGCTTCTGCATCTGCTAAATAACCACAGCTAATCAATGTATAAACAACCTGGTCTCAGTCTAAACATTTCATATGAACCATGTATTTTAGATCCACGGGTACATTATCATAATATAGACACCAGAATCTGTGTACGTCCCCTTTAAACAAGTTAAAAGGATCGCCCCAGAGTAAAAGCATAATCTGTCATGGGACTTCTGATATCTGCCATTAAGGAAAAAGTAAATATAATTGATAACATCTTCAATCCAAAAGTGTTCATCTTGCAGACATGGGACGTATCACCCACCTCTCACATCCTATTGTTTTTTTTTTTTCTGAAACAAGATTGTGTGCCTCAAATGGATAAGCTCAGTGCTGATGGATACAGGTGATTGCACTTCAACTATTTTTACACAGAGGAAAGTATGATGAGCTTCAGGGCTATGGGGAGATTCTAAAGTTCTATGGCTAAGAGTGCCTAAAGACATGTAAGGGAGCTGCGCAAGGCTGTCCTGGTTTTATGTCCTCTGACAACTTTGATTTTAGTACTTGTGATTCATCGTGTTTTCCACAGAGATTGTTCATTTTACACTGGTAGAAAAAAGTATTTACTGAGAAATCTGTAATGATGAAATGTAAAAAGTGTGATTATATATATAGTCTTTATTGAAGAGAAGAGACATATTTTGATAACGTTACTGAAAATAACTTCAAATTGGTAATTGGTTACGTTGTGATCACCCAATGTCTTTTGGGAAATTATGAAATATTGAGAAATTATTTTTGCCTATTTTGTATCTAACAGAGGAAATCTAACATGTCATTAAAACATTAAACACATCTTTGTCTGTTTTCGAAATAGATAATGTATTAAAGTCAATTTTCAGGATTCAAACTAAACTCTGAAGTAACTTTTTGATACTTCTTCCTCCTGCCGGTAATAAGGTAAGTTGGTTTTCCTCTCTCCACTCTGACATATGGTTTCAATATTCACTGCAGTAGAACTTTACCATGAGCTTATAAAAATACTGCGCTTCCTACTTTGAGAAAATGAGTCCTTCTCTGTGCAGTTGGCTCTGGCGTCCCATTGCAGTGATGACAAGTCACTAATAATAGGACTATAGGCAGCTACAGAATGTATAATAAGTGAGTAAAGCTAAGTTATCTGCAGCACGAGGCAAAAGTGGCTGTTGCTCGGTCTAGCCCGGTGTTCCAGAGGAGAGCACAGTTGTTATCTCAAGCACGTCTCGTTCATTTGTATCCCGGCTGAAGATTGACATATGAAGCATCTCCGCAGTGACATTTTACAAAAGGGTTCTGATGTCAACAACGCTGACAATGCCAATCAAGTTTTCAGAGAGCCGTAAAAGTTTTGGAAATAAGATGCAGATAAATACCAAAGCTATCGCAGAAAATAGGTCATGGAGGATTCTTTTATTCTACCGCAACAAGTTTGTCCAAAGTGGTGGAAAGAAAGTCTTCTGAAACCTCAAACAGAATTAATTATGGATTTTTATTATATCAAAATGTGAGCAGATTACATATAGCATGTTCAAACATTGACTTTAATGAAGTCAATGAAATTAAGTATAGGTCATTGCCACTGCGTAAAAAACAGATTTTTCATCTAAAATCTCAGGGTCGCCTCTTCCCGATACATTGAGCAAACACAGGGTGACGTGTCAGAACACTCACAAATGAACCCGCCTTGTGACAGATTCAGATTCCGTTTATTTGCCATTTGCAGTAAAAAAAACCACATTGGAATACATTAGCAAAAAGTCTCCAGTGTGCACAGACAAATAGACATAAAACAACATTAAAAGACAGAAATAAAACAAATAAAACAGTAAACAAGTGTCACTGTGAAATGGATCGACTAAAACAGTTTCAAAACAAGTGCAAATCATTAAAGTGCTCTGTTCACACTGATAACAGCTTGTGGATAAAAACTGTTAGCGTAACGAGATGTCCTGCATCTCAGAGAACGATATCTTCTGCCAGAGGGAAGAAGCTGGAACATGGCTTTTGATGCTGTGATGTTTCCAAACCACACAGCCACAGAACCAACAAGTAAACTCTCAATGGTGCAGCGATAAAAGTTAAGCAGAATCTTAGAGTTAGTGGTAAATTCTCTAAGTTTCCGCAGGAAGTAGAGACACTGACGAGCTTTCTTAACGACTTGGTCAGTGTTTTTAACCCATTTCAGGTTGTTAGACAGAGTTAAACCCAGAAACTTGCACTCTTCTACGATATGCACCTGGGAGTTGTCGATAACTACAGGAGTGTGAGAATTAATAGTTACCTAATGTAACTTAAGTTCTAAGAATAGGTGCGTAGTCCCTTAGCGGACTTCGCTAGTGGGATATCACGTGACCCCCAGGTCACACGCCAGAGAGATCAAATAATTTGCTCCAATCACTAGCGACCCTCCTCTATAAAGGCCCTTGCACAAGGCCGCACCCCCTCTTGAACTCTGCCAAGCCGGGCTGGCCTGATGGGCTCGTAGCTAAGGGACTACGCACCTATTCGTAGAACTTAAGTTACATTAGGTAACTATTAATTCTACGTCATGGTGCTACGTCCCTTAGCGGACTTCGCTAGTGGGACACAACGCGGAGGCCGTAGGAACATGTACTCCCAGCAGGCCAGCGAAGAGTGATTGGAGCTCCGCCCGAGCAAGACCCTCACACCGTGAGAGGACTCAGGGCAGAAAAAGCAATTGCGTGTTACAGGGCCACTCCTCCCAAGGATACCCCCAAGTAACACGGGCCGAAGGTCACTCGTAGTCCCAGGACGCCTCTCCCAAGAGCTCCTGACGTGGACTACCTGACTGACCAAAGCACACAAAAATATCACACCTGCAGAACGCCACTCCCAAGAGCTCCTGAACAGGGCGGAAAGTCAAGGTCAACCTCTAATAGAGGACAAAAAGGTTACAACTCAGTCCGCTGCACTAAGCACGGAATGGGCCACCGACCAGTCCGACACATCCAAAGGTAAGACCGGACGAAAGAAGAGGACGACGCCCAAGAAGCCGCACGGCACACGTCCTCAACCGACGCCCCCCTGAGGAGGGCCGTAGAGGCCGCCACCCCACGCGTGGAATGCGACCTGAAGCCCACCGGGGGGTCCAGGCCCTGAGCCTGATACGCCCGCCGCACAGCCGTGGCGACCCAGTGCGCCGGCCGCTGAGCCGACAGCGGGGCGCCCCTGTTCTTGGGGCCCAGACACACA